TTGCTCCTGTTTCGGTTTAGTCCGGACTGCACGGTTGTGGGCAAGACGGCCACCGAGGTTGACGGTGGCTACTACCATATTGTGGTCTGAGTCTGCTTTGGGCGAACCGGCTGGGGGATGACAACCACATTAGATACTCGGCCGTGATGTGCCTGCCTTGTCAGGATGTAGTCCAGGCGCTTGTAATCGGTTCCCGACACACCGTTGTATGTGTGCCATATTCCGCCCATGCGTGTCTCAAAGAACGTGTTCGTGAGAGCTAGCCTGTTTTCCGTTGCGAAGTTCAACAGTAGCATGCCATTGTCGTTGAGCTCATCACGCCCGTACATTCCTATTACCCTTCCGTCCCCTCCGTCCAACCTATCTCCCGTCCGCGCGTTGGCGTCCATTAGGATACACACATATTCTTTGGAAGGGATCCTCCGCACGAGACTGTCAAGTTTCCCCCAGAACACGCGCTTGGTGTCGACGGTTGAAGGTTCGGTTGGAGCATACGCGGCTACGAAGTTGACCGCTCCACGGTGGCCTGCCAACAGAAACCTCATGGCCATAAGGCGTTCGTCGATAAACTCCGTAGTGAACGTGGATGTCTTGCACAGTGACTCTTTGACGGCTATCCCCACACCATGGACTCCACCAGTCTCCGTGCCACAGCAGAACACCCGGAAACCCGCTGCTGCAAATTCCGTTCGACCTGCCCTCCTTGTCTCCTGCATTCCTACCACCGATACGTCTTGTCTCGCTGCCTCGTGTAGAACGCTGCAGGCTCGCCCGTATCCATTTGCCCCGTTTACAGCCAAAGTCCGCACATTCCAGGTTGCTACCCTAAGAAGTTGACCCAGTTGCCTCTTTCGCGCGGCGCGCGCTGCTCTCTTAGCTAGCCTACGCGGCGCTCCATCTTCCCCTTTTTTTTTTGTCTTTTTGCTATTTTTTGCGAACACTCGGGCTGACGTCATAGTTTACCCCGGTTCTCGCCTTGTTTCCCAAAGAGGTGTCTTCTTGTCCTGGAGCGGTGTGGCCCTCCATCTCTGGACTCTCTCCTTTCCTCTCTCTGGGGCATACCCCCACGGCGTGCGGTCACTCCGCCACCCTCACCGTGATCTCTGCTGCTGCATAGCCCCGGTGTCCAAGCCGGGGCGTCAGGATCAAGTCTCATTTTGCAGCTACCAAAGCTGGCGGTTCACGAGCTACCCCGATCTCACGACAGCAGTAGCTCCCAACCGCCAAACTCAGGATCCCCCTCTCAACAGTGCTAGGGACCGTATATCCGTCTTTGCTGGGTGGTCTTTCGAGGTCTAGATCCACTTGCGGAACCTCGGCCTACCCCAGGGACGGGGGGGGCAGGCCGGGGAGGAGACTGCTGTGTACATTGGGCACGACAAAACCCCAACCAACCATCGATCCTGTATGGTATGTGTGTAGACTAGACTATGTACACTATGGACTTCTGCGTTGTCCGCTGCATACGATTTCTCACCACAACCAACTCCATGACATTATTCCACGCTGCTGCGACATTGTATGCTAGTTTTCTTGCTCGAAAACCAACTGCAGCCGAGTTAGTGCAATTTAAGATACCACACATACATTTAATCGATAAGAAAAACAAACTGGGACCGGCCCGCAGAACTCCTCTGCGGGCAATGCTATATTTATTTCGCGCGAAGCGCGAAAAAAATACGAAGAGGCGTATTCGAATGATGCGTCCTTTCATTGTCTTAAAGTTTGACAGAAGGAAGCCATGTGTGGTTATTCAGTGCCCGAGGTTGCGGGTTCAATCCCCATCAGCGCAAAACTTTGTTTGCACCTTTCATTTTTTTCCGATTTTTCTTCACGATGGGAGGGCCACCACCACCTATTGGCGGTAAATTAGCGAGAAAACCACCGTTTACGCGAAGGAAACTGTAGTTTATTGCTGTACACGCCTGCAAAGTTGCAGTCTGCGCGAAACATGGCAGCTTTTCTCTGTCTCGCGTGTGCAGCTTCAGAACAACATCATGTGTGATTTTCTACAGGAAAAGAGTATTCTTCGTGCTCGCCATCAGAACGTGACGTCTTCTTGAAACTACTAGTCATAAATTCTCGCCCACTTGTCGTGTCGTGCTTCGAACCAAAGATAACAGAGGAAAAAAAACGGTATCAACATCATAATACAAATGACTCGCCGAAACCATGACGCGTAACCGCTACTGCTGTGTCGCACGCTTCAGGTGCAAGCTACTACCACAGAATAATCGGTTCCTCCCTGCATCATATCGCTGGGCGGTTTTATACAACAAGAACACCAGGAACCCCATGCCCGTTTTACGTATATACTAGTAAAATGTAGCCTTCAGTGTATGAGCCACGGCAGACATTGCAAAGGCAGGGCGGGAACACCCTTTTCTTCCGTGCTGAAATGCATTTCAGTCCGCTCTGTGCGCGCCGAAACCTGGCAAGAGGCATGTAAGAAGGAAACACAGCGAGTGGAAAATCGGACCACGGCTCAAGCTCCATGAGAGAACCCAGGTGGAACCAATTTCGCACACACCACACGGCAACACGGCACAAGGCCTAAGGACTAACATGCAAACACCCCTACGACGAAAACACCACAGGGGAAACAAGCTCAAAACACGAACGAAACACATCGACGGACGGCGAGAGGCACATGCTACTGGACCTGCTTGTATTCGTTGAAGACTGTGAAAATGCCGTGCACAGGGCGGGTGCGCTCTCCGTGCGCTGTTGCCCCTAGCCGAATGATCTTCGCAAACTTGAACGAAGCATCTCCAGCGAGTACGGTTCCGTCCCAGCGCTGGTGCACGCGGGGCAAATAGTCCTCCCGCGTCCACTTCACGCCTTCCACCCCCAGCACAGGAAGTTCTGAGAAGTACGTGCGCCACACGTCCCGCAGGTAGTGGTCCGAGGGCACCGCACCGCAGTACTTCTCGGTGTCATCGAAACTCCCAAACTTCTCTGGTACTGGGGCCGCTCCGAACAAGCTCACCCGGCTCGATCGCCGGGCGTCAGCCAGTGACACGTACTTCAGTTGATACACCATAACCTTCGTCGTGTGTGCCTGCACAAATTGTTGAGCATGCGATAAGTTTGGGGCGGGAGGGGTGCAACATGTTTCAGAACNCGGTCCGAGGGCACCGCACCGCAGTACTTGTCGGTGTCATCGAAACTCCCAAACTTCTCTGGTACTGGGGCCGCTCCGAACAAGCTCACCCGGCTCGATCACCGGGCGTCAGCCAGTGACACGTACTTCAGTTGATACACCATAACCTTCGTCGTGTGTGCCTGCACAAATTGTTGAGCATGCGATAAGTTTGGGGCGGGAGGGGTGCAACATGTTTCAGAACGGCACATCGTAGACAGTACCGGGAACAGTGTTTCGCGAAACTTCCCTGACCAAATGAAAGAATGATACGCAAATTTACCAGGCGGATGTACTAGGCAGCGGCGGACAAGCCCTTCCCATGGACCAGGTCGTCTGCGAGCCGGTCGACAAGACGAATGTCGATACCCGACCGATGAGTGAGAATGAAAGGAAATTCCTTCGACACGTAGTCAGGAAGGCGATCCAGGCATCCGACATCCCACGCGTTGAAACTGGTAGGGCGCTGCTCCGACTCCTCCACGGTCCCGTTGTATTCAACACACCGCTCGCACTTGTACCTGTCTGCGAACAAACAAGCGGGACAGCCGACAGTCAAACAGGCGGCGAACTGATCCGCGCGGTTTACAAATTGTAACACACCACATACTCGGCGTACCACCAAAAAACCTCACGCTGACTGGGCTTACCGGAATCCTATGATGTACCCCACGTCTTCCTCCATGAACACCCGTCGTGGCCCCTTGGGATTCCATCCATCTGGCGAACCCCTTTTCCCGCACCTTGGACACGGAATTCCCGCCAGCGCGAGCTCCGGGAACAAATACACGGTTATCCACGCGAACAAGCAGTGGCTTCCGAAGGAACGGAGAAAGTTTCGGCAATCCTGCGCAAAAACGTAGTGGACAGCGGTCATGGAGGAATGAGAAACGAAAATCGAGTTCGCGTAGCTTATGGACGGCAAGTGGTCAATCGCCAGGAGTACAAAACTGCTGTTCAAAGCAGCAAAGGAAACCCGGACGTCGGGTGCATACCTGAGGTGTTCTGCATCGTAGCACACTTCGGGAGAATGAGGGGGCTGCTGTAGGGGAACTTTCCACTGCCTCCCCTAGGTGCCGCCACGCCGCCGCTGTGATGGATGATGTTGGCGTCGATGTTCTTCTTGACGGTACGGAAATGATCCCGCATTGCAGGAGACAACCGTTGGCTATCCTCAACACCACCCCCGCCCACGGGAGGGGGAGCGGACGTTCCCGCCGCTCCACCTGCCCGTGCCGCTGCCCCTCTCCCAGCCTCTCGTACCCCCATCGGTGCTCGTCGTCCACTACCCCTTCCTCCGCCCCCCCCTGCACTCCCACCTCCTTGTGTTTCCCGTCTAGCTCTGCCACTGCCTTGACCTATGCTTGCTGCTCCGACGGCCGCCGCCGCCACAGCCGCAGCTTGAGCTATCGTCCCCCCTGTAACGGCACCTGCCGTGCCTCCTGCCGCAGCTGTTGGTCGAGTTTCAGCACAGGGACTAGAACTT